CCCAAAACCCCAAAACCCCAAAACCCCAAAACCCCAAAACCCCAGAAGGGTTATTAATAATTGAAAATGGATGAACAATTTCCAACAAATAAAATCAAGCGCAAAAGAGGGCGGAAAAGACTTTCAGAGTTGAGTGAAAGTGTACAAAAAGAAAAAGATATTATAAGGAAAGAGAAAAATAAAGAGAAGATGAAAAGATATAGGACTAGAGTAAAAGCCCACAAGGAAACACTTGAGCAACAAAATGAGGCCCTACAGCTAACAGTTAACCAGCTCACAAAGCGGGTAGAGGATCTTTCAGCAGAGAATGAACAATTAAAATTTAAAGTTGCTACTCTTGAAAATAATCGCATGTCTTCCACTATTGTAAGTTGCTTGAATTACACAATTAGAATGGAACCTTTAATAAATATGATAAATCTGCCTTTGAAATAGTAGACAGTGTCAAAGACACTTCCGTCATTAGGCATATTAATATTTAACACGAGGGCAAATCAAAATAAAGGTATGCTAGTTTACTAAGTATCTCTAGATACCCAGCAGTGAGAGAAATTATTCAAAAGAGAATATAAGTTCTGGAAAGATACCCTTCCAAATCTCATCAGGAGAAACCCTGAAAAGGTAAAGTACACCTTGATGGAACAAAACAGGGATATCGCAGACGTAAATGGAGATGCTAGAATTACTTTCTTGAAGACTCAGTTCAAAAACATAATCCAGAACGCTTTGGCTTTTAATGCATTAGCAACACTTAGAACTTTTGATACTTTTAAATATTCAGAGTGGCTTAAGTTACGGGAAGAACTTGCAAAGCCAAAGCCAGATTTCTCAGGAATCAAAGTTCCTGCAAGTTTCAAAGGAGGTAGTCTCTCATCTCAAGGATTGCAGCTGTTCAGAGACCATGGTGAGGCCATCATCAATACACTCAGAGAGGTCAGAACTCTTGTTCAATCACTTGTAAGTAAATGCAGTTTACCATAGGTTAAAATAAGGAACAAAATGTTTATGAAATATGGAGAACTTATAAAGATCTATGAAAATTCAGAGTGAGTCCTTATTAATTGTTTAGCTACAAATACGATAAGAACGATCATATTTCCATCCGCCAAAAGTGGGAGGAGTACAAGAAAAAGGGCATTGACTTATTTAGTAAGAATTTGTTATTTTAAGAAGAAGGTTCATCGAATTCCTGCCCCTTTCTAGCATTAAATATTATCATATAGCAATCTTCAAAATTGGCAAAAGAGACCCGAACAAGGATTATAGCTCAGATGTAGAATTGACAGAATGGGAAGAAGATGAAGAACTGCTTGAATTCAAAAGCTAGATTAGCATATTCCTCATAAAATTCTACTACAAACTTTTCTTTCTCATACCATCTTGAAAATGCCTGTGAAATAAATTTCTTTCAATAACTAAAATCTAATATGGGGTTTTGGGGTTTTGGGGTTTTGGGGTTTTGGGG